AATAAGATAACATGTGAATAAGAAAAATACTGTTTGAATTGATAAAATGATGTTTCAATCATCATAAAAGGGGCAAAAAAAGGGTTAACCTCTACCTCTTTCAGTCCATCGTCAAAAAAGCGAAACAAAATGTAGCGAACTGTGAAATATATACCTTCACGCCTTCAGAAATGAGACCTTGAGCAAGAACAATTGAAGTCGTGCTGCCATCGCCAGCAAGATCATTTGTTTTAGCAGCAGCTTGTCTCACCAACTTAACTCCAACATTCTCCAGTGGGTCCTCTAATTCAATCTAAAGAATATCATGCAAGAGAAAGAAATGTTTTCAAAAGTATGCCGAAAATTGTGTCTTTGCTTTATTTCCATCAAAACTCTTCTCATAGGCCTTTAGACCAGTCTTTCAATCCCAATTCTCACTTAAGTCTTCTACTATCAACAAAGGTAAAGGAAGTTTTTAATGTAATTTCTAGGATTCTTGTGAAATTGTTCTAACTACTTGCTTTGAAACTACCAAGAAGACAATCGACTTGGGGGCGCATGATTGCTTCTAGCAAGAAACCCACCTAAAAATGAGCGATAATTTCACCCGTTCTTTTATCAACAAAATAGCACCTCCATGAGCCAACTAAACCCATCAACCTAACCATTGGTTTGTGTGCATGCACTAGAGGATACCGTTTGCGTTGAGATACTTACAGCGACTATTATTTCAAATTTGACACAGCCTTCAGAAACCTGTATTTTCTAGTGCACACCGCTTGTTCACCATCTCCACAAATCTCTTCAGTTAAAAAAAAAGGGACTTTCTTTTTCTACTATCATAATAGCCAAATCCAATTCTTTAACAAACGCTAATATTTAACACACCGATTACCTCTTTGAGGACGGTCTCCCCATCATTAACAATCTTCGGAGGCCCGTATTTGTTCTCCAACACCACATTCCTCCCCTTTGGACCCAGCGTCACGCCCAACAAGTTCGCTGCCAAGTCCACCCCAGCCTTCATTTCATTTGGAAACAAACCAAATACATAAACTAATGCTAAGTAGAATCCATATATTGATTGGTGAAGGTAAGTACCTTGAGCTTCTTCGTTGCAGAGAAGTCGTGGTTAAAGTGAAGGTCTTTGGTGTAAGCCTTTGGGCAGAATGCAGCAGCTCTCCTGATGCTTGTCGAGATGGGAAGGTTTGAGATTGTCATCAGAGGAGTTGGGGAGCATGATTGCATTGTTGTAGTCAAGAATTTTGT